GAAGCCATTTGCACAGAAATATTTACTCCGGCAACATATGAAGAAGCATATTGAGCTAAATATAGCAACATCTCAACCGTGACTAGCTACGCCTCCAACCTTTGAAAATCACCTGCCATTGGATAACACATGGGCCAATCAAAATTCTTCTAATAAATTTGAAAATGAATCTTTAAAAACTTCTAAAAGTAGCAGCAAATCATCCTCTGGTGTAGATACAATAGACAACATAGATGTCCAGCCATTGGATAACTCACTGGCCAATGAAATTTCTTCTTACAAAATTGAAAAAAAATCTTTTGAAATGTCTAAAAATAGAAATTCTTTTGAAAAAGATACATTAGATAGTGAAATAGATAGCTCACCTGGGAGTCTCTCAAACCCTCGAGGTATAATGGAAAACGTACAGCTCTTTAACAAACTCTCTGGCAACGTCATGAAACAAGACTTCTGCATGGAATTCAAAGTAGAAAATGCACAAGATTCACACAAACTGCCAAATATAAATCAATGTTCTATGAAGAAGCAAGCAGTTTTTCAAGACACTGGTACAAGCTTGAATAATTCTGAACCAGGAAAAAATCAAGATTTTTCAATTAAACAAGAAATCTCGGCAGATTCGGTCAGCGATAAAAATCAGGATTCTGAAAAATTTGGAAAAACCTCGGAACCATCTGGAAGTGTGATTACTGCAAACATATTTGATCATAGCAAGAGAACATCAACATTACAGGAAAGAATTGACCGAGACAGAAAATCGAGACCTGAAAATCTTAAGCCAAAGCTTGTTGATCGTAGAAAAGACCATTCTTTAGTTGAAGGATCCGTTATAAACAAAACAGAAAAGAAGAAAAGAAAGTTTGATGAGAGTCTGGATAAAAAATTTGAAAACGAGAAGAAAAAAATTAAATTACCTAGTGAATTTATAGCCACAGTTAAAAATAGTATTGCTATCAATAATAAGAAGGATAAGAAATTTTTTAATGCTGAAAAAACTGCTGGTCAAAAAGAGGACATTTATTCCTTCGAGGATGAAATTATTACAAACAAGAGTGCCGAATTTTCATATCATTCGTTTGATAAAAATGTTTTACATAAACGTAAATCAAGTGCTAAATTTCCAGGTGCAGCAAAGAGGTCAAAACTTGATTTGGATAAACACAAGCATCTAAATAACTCTAAAGATTCTATCAAATCTTCTGTAGAAAATACTAGTGGCCAGGATAAGTTAAAAGCTTTGCAAAAAATTGAACCGCCAAATGCGAAAAAAGTGCCATTAATTGAATTTGGTGCAGAATTTACAAACATGGTAAGAGCTGCTGATCAGGCTAAAGTACCGGAGAGTTCGTTAAAAGACAATGTTCCGTTTAAATATGAACAAAAGAAATTGCCAAACCAGTTAAGTCTTAGTGTAAAAGATGGTACAATTTCAACAGCTATTCAAAAAGGTTCTCCAAGTAGCGACAGAACTGTACCTGTAGAAATGTCTTGTAAATCGTATAATTCATTAAGTAAAAATAATGAAATTGCATGTCACAAGGGTAAATCAGTATCCGATGAGGAAAATATATCCAACGGTGATTTAAAAAAATCATTCCCAGAAAGCTCTCCTCGCATGAGCCAAGGAAAAAGTTCCAACTTAGATCAAGAAAAATGTCTAAATAAGAAAGACGTTTCCATAGTAACTAAGAAAGAATATGGTAAGGTATTGGAGAAAAACAGCGAACCGAAGACAGGCATAAGTAAAAATATGTATAAAAATGGTTTGCCGAAATTTCCATTTGAAAAACTAAATGGACCGTCAAAAGCTTGTAGTTTTATAAAGAACATGAGTGGAGTAAATGACAAAAAAGATATTAATCACCTAGGAGAGAAGAGGGATAAATATTTAGAAATGCAGTTTTTGAGGCCCCCGTTAAATGGAATCAGTGTGATAGATAAGAGGTTAGAGGCGATAAGGAAAGTTAGTTTATGGATCGGAGATTGTATGGAGAGTGCTGCTAGAGATACAGATCTACCGGAAGATTTGTCGGTGGATAAAATAGTGCCTAGAGCTCAACGGCAGACAAATGGGAAATGTGCAAGTCTTTCAGAAACTTCTAAGACAACTTCCGTCAAAAATAAATGTGCTGCGATAAATGTTAAATGTGCCGTTTCTAAAGCCCTTGTTAAGTCTGTTTGTACAGAAACTTCAAAACCGACTTGTTATACTGACAAATCAAAACAATTACAAAGCACGCTACAGAAATATGATAATGAAAATGTGAAGCAAAATGTGAAAGAAAACATGAAATGTCAGCAAGATGTGAAAGAAAACATGAAATGTCAGCAAAATGTGAAAGAAAACATGAAATGTCAGCAAGATGTGAAAGAAAATGTGAAATGTCAGCAAAATGTGAAAGAAATTGTGAAATGTCAGCAAAATGTGAAAGAAATAAGTAAATACAATGAATTTAGGACTGAAAGTTATTCTTGTTCGGAAATAGTTCACTCTAAAATCAAAAAAGGTGATGACAAAAATAAAAAAGAAGAAGCTATACATAGGGAGGAAAAGGTGACAGCTGGTAAGACTGTTCAAAATTTGTCAGAGTTACCAGCCTTGAGTGACATGGGTAAAAATAAATCATCTTCCAGTACTCTTGATGATCATTTTGACACGGAACCTAAAGAACAAAGTTCCTCAGAATTTGACACATCTTTGTTCAGCATAAATGATAAACTTTCCACTATGGATTCAACATTTAAACCAGAAAGTTCAAATTTTATGAAAAATATTAATAGCATGCGGAATGGAATAAAATCTGGGAATTTTAATGATACAAAACAAAGAAAGTCACAGATGGAATCTGAGGATATGTTGAAGACATTTACCCACAGCTTGTACAATAATGGGAGGACTTTTGTGAAAGATTTAAGAAAGAGAATGCCTAGTATTCACATTGAACAAATCAGAGAATTTAAAAGTGCTTGTAATAATGACCTTCCGGTCAAAAATGTAGCCGAACAAAGTAGTTATAAACCTAGTGATAATAAAATTGTAGCTAAAAATGCTGTAGTAAACTCTTACGGTGCTGAAGTATGGGGACTTGGCAATGATGTATATAGTACTACTAACAATGATGTTGTTGATGTTAATGATGTAAAAACAGTTAATGATGATGTTGCGAATGAAGTTGAATGTACCTCACAAGTGTATTGTTTGATTAATGTCAAAAGTGTTGCTAACAATGTTAAATGTAAACCTGATAATAATGTTGATCATGTTGCCAAGGGCAACAGTCGTCAAGTTAATGTTGCTAAGGACAACGGCCTTGATAATGTTGTCAACGGAAACAGCCTTCATAACGTTTCTGATATTTCCGAACTCTTGGAAACTCCAGAAACATTCTTAGAATGTGATAGTAATAGGTTGGAGAGCGGTAAAGAAACTAAAAGCAATAAAGTTGGTGTAGATAATGGTGTACATAGAATGAACGGAGGCAATATTGACGTGTTGGACCTTTCAGTGAAAACTGGAGGCATAAGTGATAATGATTCTTCGTTTGATTTCACTCCTGAACATTTTAACCTTACATATCCGAGTGTTGTTGTAGATAGAAAAGCTAAGTCTCAGAGTGAGGCTCTTGGGCTTTGTGTTGAGTTTGAAAATAAAAATAGTCTTCAAGATTTTAGTGTGCCGTCTGATTTGTCTTATGTTGAATGTGAGCCAAACCAAAACAATGTATTGTTAGATGCAAACATTGCAGGTCGGTTATCAAATCTTAATGATGTTCAATCTCAAGCAGTGTTTACAAAGTTCAACAAAGAAATGCCAAAAGTTGGTGAATCTCAGAACATTAACGGTTATGTCAAAATAAAATCTAACGCGCAGACACCGGTCAGTTTAGACGCATCTCCACACTCCACTGTCGTAAAACCGGAAGAAATTAACGGTTATTCCGGTCATGACTGGTCTGCTGATGATCTTGCAAATTTAGGATTAGATAATTCAGAAGAGGATCACAGTCTAGAAAATATTAATCCAGTTTCTCTTATTAATTGTCCGGTTTCCATAGCAAGGTGTCTAGTCTCTGTGAATAATTGTCTGGTTTCCGGCTCCAGTTATCTGGTTCCCAGTAGCAGTGTTTCATTTACTACAGGCAGTGGCTCATTCTCTAATTACACAGTTTCCAGGAAAGTTAATCTGGTCTCCAGTGAGGGAACCAATCCAGTTTCCAGTATATGTTATAATCAACACCAGCTTTCAAATAATGGTCATTCCGGGAACCAGTTTTCAAATGTAGTCATTAATGGGAACCAGATTCCTGGCTCCACTGATAATGCTGGTAATAGGAACCAGTTCCTGCATATTGGTGACCATGACGGGAACCAGTTTCCATTAGATGATCTTCCACAACTGATTGGGGAGAGCGAGGATTATCAGTGGAATGAAACTCTAAAAAGTTTTATTATGCAAAATTTAGATTATGAACCTAAAGAAGAAAATGGGACAAAAGAGCCTGCTGCTAATGTAGAACTGCTGTTGGAACAGAAAATGGCAGAGCAATATCTAAACAGAAATATAGAAAGTCTAAAGAGAAAGAATTCAATTGATTTATAAACTGTTCTAGAAGTCTACTGTCAATGAAGTTGCTTTTGATTTTTGCTATTTTTTCTTTTTCAGTTTTATTTCATTATAGAAAAATTGCACAATTATAGTGGTAAACGTGTCCCCATCTTAGTTGGTTAAAGATAAGTTTTCAATTGTTATTTATTGATTTTTAATTTGTTGTTGAAAGTTTTAAATTGATGCAATTCAAACACATGAAGTTTTGTTTATACTTTTTAGGTATTAAGAAATGAAATAATATAGCATCTTTCATGATTACAATAGGGTTGTGTGGTGTAGACTAATTACCACATTCTTTACTGTTACCATGGAGTCTGACTTCTGTTGCTATGGAGCCTAACTACTGTTGTTATTGAGTCTAACTTCTGTTACTATGGAGCAGGGCTGTTGCTATAGTGCATGTCTTCTGTTGCTATGGAGCCCGATTTCTGTTGCTATGGAGCCTTACTACTGTTGCTATGGAGCAGGGCTGTTGCTATGGAGCATGTCTT